GCTGCTCACCGCCCCCCAGGACACCCCGCACAGGGCCCGGGGCTGCTCACCGCCCCCCAGGACACCCCGCACAGGGCCCGGGGCTGCTCACCGCCTCCGCACTGCACGCTGCACCCGTCCCAGCCGCTGTGGGTCCAGAGGAACAGAGAGTCCTGGGGTTTTTCTGGCTCACTCTGATTTTCGGCTGTATGATTTACAGGAACGGTGTATTCATAATGAATTCCATAATTTTGGTCATGAAATAACAACACCTGCATCAGCGACAAAATAAAAGGCGACTTTAAAACAGAGCGACAGCCCACAGGTGGCTGAACAGGCAGACGCACCCCACATGGCTCTTTCCCTACAGGGGTGACCAGTTCTTTCCGGGGTTTCCAACCAGGCCCCATCATGGGGTCCTCCTTTATTTTACCCTGGGGTCCCCGCATACACCACCCCGGGCGGTGCGGCCGTGTGCACAAACCCCGCCAAGTAGTTCCTCTCTTTCTTTCTGGAGAGGGGATGGGAGCAGCCCGCGGGGCAGGGGTGGTGGCCTCTAACTGCACTTAGCAAGGACAGCCGCTCCCTTCCCCCGCCCACCTGAGACGCTTCCCTTGCAGACCAAACAGCCAAGAATATGCTGCTTTTTACCTGAAAAGGCACCTGAGCAACTAGGCTACTCTCATTCTTTGCAGCGAGCTTCCCTTCAGCTCCCCAGCACCCGTTGCCTGCCTCAGTGTGTCTGGGGGGTCGGGCGCTGGGCACTCACAGGGCACGGCAGGGCAGCTCTCGCTGTGGCAGAGCTAGGAGGAACACATGGCCCTTGCAGCGGCCTGGCTCAGGGCCTAGGCCAGGGGCCGGGGTCGGGGGGAGGGGAGGAGGCGGGGAGTTGTCCTGCAGCCTAAATCTGCTCGCTGGTTAGTACCACAAGATGCTCCGCTGGTTTCACGTCTCTGCACATAATGGAGCAATACCAGGCCTCTTGCGGGCACCAGGCCAGGCCTGGGTCATGTGCTTTAGGACAGTTATGGAGCCTCCCATGGGTGCTCCTGGGTCGAAGCAGCCGGAAGCTCACTTCCAGGCACGGAGGTCCTGGAGAGCGGGCGGAGGCTGCTGAAGGCAGGGTGCCCGGGCCTGACTTGGGAGGCCAGAGGCAAGTGCCAGAGGCAGCGGCCCTCTTCTTTCCCGGCATCTCCCAGCCAGCCAGGGCTTGGGTGCAGGGTGGGAGGTGGGGTTAGAGTGGCCTGCACTGCGCAGACACCCGCTTCTTCAAGACACAGACTTGCAGTAATGCATTTGGAAAAAATGCCTCCAGTTTTTGTTTTTTTTTAATACCTCTTTGAAAGAGGCGTCATTAGCTCAGATGGGATAAGACTGGTGAATGGGGAACCCAGATGAAACCAATCTTCTGCAGTTCCGGAGCACATATCACGGGTGTGCCTGTATACAACTGGTGTCAAACGCAGGACCCAAAGGCTCTAGGGTGCTCCTAAGCCTGCAAGCACTGTGTGACCCCAGTTTGGGAAGGATGGCCTTCTCTTTAGAGGCAGAAGGGCACCTTTGTTTCTGAATTAAAAAAAAAAAAAAACACTTGAAATAACAATCGTATTGAAGGGCAGAAAAGCGATTCCGCTTCCGAGGCCGGAACCTGAGCACGCTGTCTTCTCAGCCACTCTGCTCCGCCTATCCAGGGCTCAGCGACCCAGGCTGTGTATCTGCTTAGCGTGTTGATGTTGCCCACAGTCAGGGCAGCTCCACGGCGGGCACGGAAACACCCCACCTGGCTTTTGCTGCAGGACGCAGAACCAGCGTGTGCTGACAGGTGACGGCGTGAGGGCTTTGTCTCCTCTGTGGCTTCCTCTTTGAGTCCCTCTGAGTAATTGCTTTCAAAGCAGAACAGGACTTGCTTTAAGGGCTTAGACTAAGAAACCATCTCAGCACAGGTACAGATTCTTGGGTCCCAGAAATCAACTTGCAAGAATAAGTCTGCCATAGACGTGGGGGCTGAATTTGCTCTGGCAGGTGGGAGTCATTTTCCAGTTGCCTGCTCTGTTTTGCAGGGTCTCGGTGCTCTGATGGGGGTGCGGGGAGGTGCCTACATCTGAAGACGTGGGAGGTGACATCTGACTCCTACACAGCGTGTAAGTCAGCACCTCCACTGAGCAATTCACACAGAAATCGTACGCAGCGCGGGGCCGCAGCGGGAGGTAACGTTGCGGTGGATGCTGGTGCGCATGCGCACAGTGGGCCCCTCGGGAGACTCCTGGGGAGGCGGCCAGGGAGTCTTTAGGGTATCACCTAACCTTGAATGGCTGCAGGTTGCCAGAGACCACAAATTAATGGGGAAAAAGAACTTCCAAGTAGAGCCTTTGGCAAGCACTGAGGACAAAATGTGCTTTGATGACAGACACTCCAGAGGCCACAAATCCCGTTCATTGGAAGGAAACATGGAATCAATAATTATGAGCAGCCAGAAGTTAGCCATGAGAATTCCTGGACCCCAAAAAGGAAACGGTAGCATTCCTTTCCCTGGAGATCTTAAGATTCTTAACAAGATGCAAAACCGGATGCTGAAGTGGTTCCCGGGAGTTGTCTCTGAGACAGCAGGTAAGATGGGCGCCCTGACTTGGGTGTGGGCTTTCTGGGACCACCGGGAAGGAAATATTCCCCTAGAACCTGGTTTCTCCTCACTCCCGCACGCTTGTTGCAAGCTGAGTCTGGAAAATCTGAGTGATGTTGGTTTGGAAATAGAATCAACAATTCATTTCCAAAAGGTAGTTTCCAACGTGGATATATACACGGCGGGGCAGATCTCTGCCATCTGATAGAAAAACACAGACTTTTGAGCAGGCTGTCTGCTAAATGAGGCCAAGTCTCCCTGGCTGCCTCAGGGCTGAGCATTTCCTTCCTGGAGGGAGCCCTCCTAAAAAGATGGGCGCTCTGCCAGGGGAGTCAGGGAGAAGTCTGGAGACGGGAGAACCCTAAGCGTGCAGCAAAAGAGATGACTGTTGAGCAGTGAGGCTAAGGTACCAACCCCCTCCCAGTGCAAGACCCACACAGAACTTAGAGCAGATGCCCCTTTAAAAGCTTCCACATCCGAGCATCCCGACCATCAACACCTTTGGCTGGCGGAATTCGTGGATGTGGAACTGTAGGCAGGAAGAAAATCCAAGTCTAAGTAAGTGATCCCGTGCATTCAAGCCTGTGTTGCTCAGGGGTCAGTTGTAGAAAAGGGAAAACCAGGACAGGGGTTGGAGCAGCAGGTAGCCAGCAGGACCACCAGGAATCAGGTACGCCCCCACCCGAAGCACCTGGGGAAGGGGTACACCAGAGATCTCTCGAGCTGTCAGTCTCGAGACAACATACATGCACAGCCGGTTACCATCAAATGCAGGGGTATTTTGGTTGGTCCCTTGGCAGAAATTTTCTCCCACAGGCCTCTCCTGACGTAGCGGACAGTGGTGCCGGCGATCTGGAATTCTCCAGGGAGCTCTATCTTCCAGTCGCTGTTGATGGATCTCTTACTGGAGTCTTTGAGAGCTGCAAAGAAAATGGAAGACCGTGGAATCAGGAGTCATTGTCTGTGAAGAGAATGTGGTGGGGGGCGAAGAGATGTGTCTGTTGTACCCCAGGGCAGAGCTGGTTGGCAGGGCGCAGACGGTGTGAGACGCACAGAATGTCTGGGCAGGGGCTGTCCTGACCGCTGCACAGCCCTACCTGGGCTGCCCCCTTGGGGTCAGGTCCCAGAGACCACGGTCACTTCGCCGGACTTACAGGGCAGTGGGTTTTCAGCCTGAGGAGTGAATCCCGTTTTAATGTGTCCAAGCAGGTTTGGCTGCTTTAGTGAAACGCACTGGCTCCGTTCTTTGTCACCTGCCTGGGGCTTTTAAATTTTTATTTATTTATTTTTTATAGTTAAAGCTTTTATGAGATGATCCAATTAGAACTCAGAGGTGCGGACAAGTGAGGTTGCTGTCTGGCTTCTATCTTTGGCAGAGACTGGGGGAAGAGACTGGCGGGCTAGAGGGTCCAGACACACGGCAGCGTCTTCCACTCCCCGCCTGCCTGGGCTTCTTGGGGAGAAAGCCTGACTCCGCTCTCTGGGGGGAATCTGAGGATCCCCCTCTGTGAGAAAGGCGAGTGTGTGCCTTCAAGTAACAGCATCATTCCATCCCATGCTGGGTCTGGATACCTGAGCCGTGCCCAGACGTGGTAATGGCCAGTCCACGCCTGCGGACACTCAGCCTGCACCTTGTATCCAGGCCTGTGGGCCTCACCTTGGTCGAAAGGTGCAGGAAGAGACAGGAAATCAGCATTTTGTATAAGCAGAGATCTGGTTTTTCAAACAAGCCATGGATTTAGGGTGATGGGGGCTAACCAGGGTCCCCCCCACCCAGGTTTCTGGATGACTCGTTGTTCTCAAGAGAAGAGCAGTCTGCGGTGAAGTTGCCTGTTGGTTTGTTTTGTTACTTAGGAAAGATGTGAACTAACTTCTTTAAAAGGCGGTCAGTGACATGAAGCAACAGCACGTCTTGCTGGCACTTCAGAACAGCGCCAGTCCCAGCAGCGTCCAGCAATGCCCACGCTCTGCATGAGGCAATGGAGCCCCCTGGTGCCCTGAATGCTTGAAATCACTTTGGGCTGCTGCTGGGTCCATCAGTCCTCTCGGGGCCTCAGCTGGGCCTATTCCCTGCTGACGAAGGTCACAAATAAACAGATTTGGGGCGATGCCCATATTAACAGATTTGGGATGATGACAGTCCAATGGAAAGGGGTGTGTTTTATCCCTGCATTCATGAGCCCTCGGCGGGTCAGGCCCAGGCAGGTCCATAAGCAGCTGGGGCTGGCGTGTGTGCAGGGCCTCTGCCCCTCACCTCTGGGACACTAGTCCCAGTGCCCGGCCCTGTTCCCTGGCCCACACAGAGGGGCTCCCCAGGACTCCTTGCACAGAGGCACACAGGAGGCGCCAAGAGAGTCCAGACCGAAGACTCTGATCCCAGAGAGCAGATTCCCGGCCCTTGCGTGCCCCAGTGGCTGGGGCCTGACTGCACGACTCCAGGGAAGCTGAGAAAAGAGATGCGCCAGCTGCAGTCCAGCGTTTCCCTCCAAGAGGGGCTACCTGCTTTGGAGCTTCCCAGCTGCTGAGAGAGAGGGTGCTGGGAGACTCACCATTTCTGCTGGGGTTTTGCTCTTCCTCTGCTGTGACCTGCAAACCGCCACTGATTGGGTGTGCTCTTGCCAAAGCTCCTTTAAATGCTGTTACCCCTTCAGATTTCCCAGCACTCTAAGGTCAAGGAGTATTTCTCTTCTTTACACAGACGGGGAAGGAAGGGAGAGGCAGGCTGTGGCTGCGGGGCTGTTCCAGAGCAAGGCTAGCAGCTGAGTGGGAGAGAGAACATCCGGGTGCTGGAGGCTGGAGACGAGCACGCTGGCCGACGTCACGGTGGACAGCGCTCAGGCCGTCCGAGGCAGAACGGCCACACTGTGACCTTGCCGAGCGTAGAGCTGGCCAGAGATGCCAACCATCAGCTCTGGCGGGCCATGCACGGCTGCACACCGAAGCACCTGTCCTTCTTTGCTTTGAGGGTCCTCCGCTGGAGGTGCTGGTGGTAGAATCTCCCACTCTCCCAGCTAGCTTCAGGGGGTGGGGCGTGTGTGCACTCATGGTCCCAGATGGAATAAACTTTGCACACCCCAGTCTGCTTGCAACCCTCTCCGCCAGCACTGCACTTCCCAGGCACTGTAACCACAGCTCCGCATCTGTCAGCTGGCCCCCCTGGAGAGCCAGAGCCCCTTCCTCAGGACAGCCCATCAGGACCCTGTCTCTTCATGCATTTTGCAGGGAGAGGAAACCAGAAGCAAAGTTGAAAGTCGGTCAGCAGTTCCCTGCAGTGCGGGGTGCGGCACACCTGTGGCTTCTAGGGGCGTCATGAGTCTGCAAGGTTCACGAGGTGCAGGTCACGGAGACGTGGGAAGTGCCTGCTCTATCATGTCAATGTAGCGCCTGACGCACGTGTGGGCCAGTCCACTGCCTGAGGGATTCGATCAGAAGACCGAGGGTAAACATGTGCCACATGGAGTCCAGTGAGACCACTCTGGGGGCCGAGCAGCTCCAGAGAACGCAGGGCCCCCTCTGGTGCATCGGCGTCCATGGCCACGCCGCAGGCCGGGCCGGCAGAGCAGGTGAGGCAAGGCTCCAGGACCCTCGTGCTTCTCCACGGACCTGCACACGATGCTGCTCTGCTTCTCGTAAAGAAGGTGTTCCAAATTAGCCACGTTCGGGGCCCTTAGGCTCCTTCCTCTCTTGACCCTGGGACATCAGTGGGTAGATGCAAGCCCCCTTGGCAAGCACTTTGAGATTAGCTGGTATTTGAAACTAGGATTTGCGGGCCTGGAAATTTATCAAAACGACTGCACATGCTTTGACTTAAAAACACTTTGAGTGGCCCTCCCTGGTGGCGCAGCGGGTTAAAGCACAGCACTGAGAAGCTAAAGCCGCTTCCGCATGAGTTCGATCCCCGCCTGCCCCGGAGGTGACCACATGGCGCGGCAGACCTCTCCTGACCCGCCCGCTGCTCCCCTCAGCAGTGTACTTCATGGATCTGCCTGCTCTGCTCCCCACTCTGTCTCTGGTGAACCCTCTCGCCGCCCCTGAGCCTCTGGCCTGTACCCCAGTTCTGTATGTACAAATAAATAAATCTTTAAAAAAAAAAAAACACTTTGAGTTAAAAACAGTGACCTGCTTCAATGCGTGACAGCTGAAGTTGTGATTTGCTGGCAGATAAATCAATCAGTGGGATCTGCCCGAGCTGGAGGCTGGATGTTTTACACCCCTGTCCAGAGTATCACAGTGTTTGATTTGTGTATTTTGCTCAGAAGCCATGAGAAGCTTCTTCACAGCTACAGACACTGGTGTGCAGTGGCGGGTGGGGATGCACACTCCTGCTGCTACAAGGCCTCTTCAGTGGCCAGAATGCAAAGTCTCCTGGCGAATGTCCGTTTCTACCCCCAGCTCCTTTCTCTCTGGGGACATGGAGACAGCCTCCCTGGACTCCTGAGAGCTTTGCGTGAAGGTGATGAGACATTCTGGGAGTCGGGGAGAGGGTGCTGTGGAGGGGAGGGCCTTCTCCTATTCCGAGTCGGCCGGGGGCAGAGGCCCCGACCTGTCCGGGGCCCTCCGACTGCAGGCGCCGTGCAGAGGCAAGTTCTGTCGGGCTCCTTGCGTCTCAGATTCCACTGGAAGACCTGACCTGCCGTCAACCTACTTCTAGTGCTGGCACTGAGTCAGTGCCTTTTATTTCCACTCGGAGTTCTGCCAGCGCCATTCTTACTATGGATGCAAACTGTGGAGGCATTTCCTGTTCCAGGTGGTTTTGCACAGACAGCCAGGCAGCGTGGGCTGAAGGTAGGTGGGGTGGAATTCTTTAGGAACTGCTCCCAGTGAATGCAACAGTAATTCAGAGTTACCCTGGTTAGCTTCCAAAGCACCCAGCTCCAAGTGGAAACGAGGCTTGTTTGAAATAACCTGAGAAGCAAAATGAGCGTGGACCACCTTCAGTCTCGCTCCTGGGCACACAGCAAGCCCTGGGAGCCTGGTATCATGGTCTGTGGGTGAGACGGGGGTGAAAGCTGGCCCCCACGGAGGCCCTGTGCGCTGGGGCAGCCGAGAAGGTGCCCCGAGACACTGAGCCGGTCTGCTTGGGATGGGGGTTCGTCTCTGAAGTCCCCATAACAGAGGACTAGCAACAGGCCAGTGTCCATGTGTTCTCCAGTACAAAATGGTCCCCACCCGTGGGTCTCTGGCTGTGATGGAACATCTCAGAGAAATTCTGCGCTCTTCTATGAACTGCAGCTGACTCAGATGAAGTGGGGAATGCACATGAGCTGCTGAACCCCTGCTCTTCAGGGTGCCCCTCGGTGTGTAAAGCAGGCATAGCGATCCCAGGGTGCCCCTCGGTCTGTGAAGCAGGCATAGCGATCCCAGGCCACGCATTTGGGGCTTAGGTCTGTAAGCAGAGCAGGACTCAGTGTCAGGAGCTCTGATGTTGGCTAAGTGTGGCCCTCCGCGTGGGCAGTGCCAGGCTGCAGGAGCTGTCAAGGACCATCTTGAAGCCACCCCTCACCCCCAGGCTGGCTGCATCCACTGGCTGTTACATGTTGGCCCTAAGGTGAGTTCTAGTGAAAATGTCATTTTTACTCTCAGGATTGGAGTTAGGTAATTGCCAGGCTCCTGACTGACTTCTGTTATTCTTTCTGTCACAGAAAAGGAAAAAGAAAACATTCCTGCTCTCCTCAGATGCCTGGGGCTGGGGTCAGGGGGAGAAGGATGCTGGGGAGTGCTGGAAGCCATGATGGGAAGCCAAGGGCCTTGTTTCAGAGGTGGAGCTGAAGGCGACCTGGGAACTGAGCTGCTCACGGGATACTGGGGACATGGTTTGTGAACAAGGTAAAGGTCAAAGGTGATGTTGGCTTCCCAGAGGGGCCCAGGACCCCCAGATAGCAGTTGTCTCAGCCAGGGGAGGACCAATGTGCCAGTTTGGAGCAGTAATTTTTTGGGGGGTGGGGTTTCTGTAGCAAATGCCAGTGAACTTGACTCTATTTCCTTAGATGGGCAGAAAGAGAGGGGTGGGCTCTTTGAGAACTGGGCTGAAGGCCTTCACCTTGAAGAAGCTGCCAGAGCCCCACATGGTCCTGTTTCTGAAAGCATCTGTGAGCATCGCTTCATTTGTAGAGCGACAGGTGGCACAGCTGCAGAGAGGCGTGCCAGGCTGGACGGGACAGTGTCCGTGTCAGGGAGGTGGAAGACGCGCTGAAGACCAACGTAGACAGTGACCTGAGTGACCCCAGGGTCCTTCCCACAGCAGCAGGAAGATCTTCAGGGGACGTGGCAGGGTAGCCGGGGCAGCCTAGGGGGCTGTTTGCCGTGGACACGTGGAAACAAGAGACCCTGTCCCCACCCTGCCAGGAAAGGCAGACCAGGAGATCAGCCACCTCCAGCTTGAAATCGAAGCCCAGGCAGGAACGGGGAGGTCAGGGGAAGGACACAGGACACAGCATCAGCCCCAGGGAGTGAGCTCAGAGCAGTCCTCTATGTGCTGGCCGCAGTCTGACCACTCCGGAGCTCAAGCACTGGGGTCTTTGCTGGGGCGGACAGGGAGACTGGGAGCTGAGCTTAGGATGGACTTGGAGGCTGTTCCCTGGCTAAGGTGGAGGCTGGCCAAATGGCTCTTTCGAGGCTCTTAGCATGGTTCTGTGGAAGGAGTACAGACCATCTGCATGGAAGCCAGCCTTCTACAGGAAGGCTCAGGTGTCTGAGCCTGAAGAGAACAGAGGAAACCATTGTTCCTTTCGGTTTCCATTAGATTTAGGCAGTCACTCTTTCTGACTATGGCATACCCCCCCGAGAGCTTAAAAGGGCTTCCTGTGGTGGGCGAATGACCCATCCTGTGGGGTGAGGCTGCCAAGCTCCCCTGGGGGGGGGGGGACTTAAGTCACTCTAAATGCACACAGCTCCTGTCAGACCCCATCCCCTTCCTTCCCTACTGACACCCCCGGCCCTGGGTGCCACCTTTGGAAGAGCTGTTGTTCAGCCAAAAGTGGCAGTGCCCCCAGGTGGTTCCAGCTGGACACAGTGGGAAGCTGACGACTGGAGGATGGTGAGGAGCTGGACCACCAGCCTGACCACCGCATCAGTTCTCAGAACATAAATCGTGAGTCAAATCACTCTTGATTTACCCAGAAAACTGTGGGCAGGTTTATCCTCCACGACACGGATCCTTCGAGCTCCAGCGGGAATGACAGCAGCTTCGATGTAACCTGTAGAGACAAACAGCACCCACTGAAGCTCATCTCCACCCTCTCTCAGAGGCCCGGGTGGTGCCCTCCACCAAAACCCAGTGCGTCACACCCTCAGGGGAGCGTCAGAGCCGTGGGGGGGGGGGCGGTGCAGAAATTGAACTAACGAGGCCCCTTCTCTCTGGCTGAAAGAACGAGCTGCCCAAACTCCAGAAAGCTCCACTGATATGTGCCATGATGTGCTGCACCATAATCAAGACATTGAGGCCCCCACTCCCAGGCCCCGCAGTGTAGATGTTACTGGTTAAGATCATACTGCAGCAGGTGGGCGCCTGAACCAGTGTGCTGGGTCTTACAAAGTGGGAACTTCAGAGACAGATGTGCAGATAGGGGAGCTGTGTGCAGACAGGAGACAGAGACGGGTGAACGCGTCTATAAGCGGAGGAGCCAAGATGCCAGCCACCAGGAGCCGAAGAGAGGCCGGCGGGGGGGTGGGGGGGTTGCCCTCACACCTTCAGAGTCTTCTTGCTGTGGGGATGTGTATCCACCAGGGTCTGAGCACTTAATTACAGCAGCCCCAGCGGACGAAGGCAGCTTGGATTGCTATCTGCACAGCACGTGTGGACCACATTCACCCACGGGAGCTTCCTTCGCTGTTTGCAATACTTGGGACTCTCCCCAAATGGCCACAGATGACAGCAGCAGTTGGCAACTTGCCCTAGGACAAAAGACTCAAGCATGGCCAGCATACACTGCACCGTTTCCTGCTTCCACGGCCCCGTGGGCATTTCTGCAACAGGATACTCTTGCCCATATCCTTGTGGATTTCTAAGCACAGTGGTCTCAGAGACTGGGACGGTCTTCACACTGTGCCAGGCCGGGATAGCAGGTGGCTGGTGAAGATCCCGGGGGGATGACTGGGTGGCCAGGGCAGAAGTCAGCCAGATCTGCTGCTGGTTATGTGGGGTACTGTGATGAGTTTCTGAAACTGGGCTGGTGATCTCTTTGTTTTTCCGTTTGGGAATTAAACAAGGATGATACGTGATTAGATTTAGATGATGCTTTAGATTATGAATCCTACTCCCATGGTTTCCAGATGGGACCATCAGAATCAGCAGGGTAGCTTTAAAAATTAAGAGAGTTCTGGGCTCAATGAAGTGGAGACTATGAAAAGATCTATTTTTTTTGAGGGGTTTATTTTCTCATTTGTTTCATAGGAGAAATGACTATTTTTATTATGAAAATAGTAAAGAATAATTTCAAAACATAAGGGAGAAAGCTAAAGTCAATATACTTCATTGCACTGAGAAAGTGATATTGTGGTAACTGGCCTTTCCAGCAGTTCATGACAAAGCACAGAAACACACATGATGCTCTTAAAAGATCAGGGACAACTTTAAAAAAGAATCTTGCAGGCCCTCCCTGGTGGCGCAGTGGGTTAAAGCACAACACTAAGAAGCTAAAGTCACTTTTGCATGAGTTCGATTCCCGCCTGACTTGGAGGTGACCACATGGCACAGCAGACCTCTCCTGACCCGCCCACTGCTCCCCTCAGCAGTGTACTTCAACGATCTGCCAGTTCTGCTCCCAGCTCTGTCTCTGGTGAATCCTCTCACCGCCCCTGCACTTCTGGTCTGTACCCCAGTTCTGTATGCACAAATAAATTTAGAAAAAAAAAAAAGAATCTTGCTAGATCATATATGCCCAAGGTACAGCATACAAAAATTATAGAAGTATACAGTAGAGAGTATATTGAGGTGAATAAGATAATCCCACAGCTAGCTAGCTAGCTAGCTCTGTCATTCTTTATAATGTGGGGATTCTGATTGGGTCTCTACACAGTGAACTGAAGTATCTGTCAATACTTCATGCTTTCAGCATCTTCTCCTTTCACCATTGTGGTTAGAACTTGCAAAACCACACTGTATGCAACACGGGATTGTAGGGTCCTTGGCTTATTCATGATGGCTGATTCACAGCAGTGTTCCAGCGTTTTCCCGTCATGAATGATGACATATGTGATGGTGTCAGTTACCAGGCACAAGAAGTTCACTTTACATTAGTTTGATAGGAGCTTCTCTTATGAAGACATAGGGAATTAATCACATACATCTGGCAATCATGGGGACAGATCCCCAAAGAGTTTCTCTCTTAATAACACAAAAGACCTTGGAGGGGCAGAGTTGCAGTCACCCTGGCGTGGTGTGTGGTCAGAACCCTGACTTTGTCCTTCCTTCACCAACAGCTGAGCTCACTGTTATTCCTTTTCTTATCCTGACATTTCCCGTAAACCTCTGATGATAGGTATGCTTCTCATATCGATTTCTTGATTGCATATGCTTCTCCGTGAAAAGTGAAACATTTTAATCCCTGGATATTGAAAGATGAATAAATCAGCATAATTTCCCCTCTCTCCACTTCTTACAGCCACCTCAGCATTTGTGTCTTTCTATGTGTGTTAGAACACTGACCTTTTGTTCTTTAAGCTATTGCAGTTGTTTTAGTCTTAGTGCCCAAAATTACCATTCATTTTTTTGTCCTTTGGACAGTTTCTTCAATAAATTTTTGTTTGTTCCACATTTGTTCTTTTTGATATATGCTTATGGGATTTGTATTCCCTTAACTATAGTACAGAAAGTATTGTTCATTGTCCTGATACATGAAGGGGTGGGTTTGAGATTCTTGAAATGAATCTCACACTCTGAAATGTTGTATGAGTTCTTCCATTGACTGGTAGTGAGGGGAAGACTGGGCCAATTTGATACTTTCCTTTTACTAGGTTGCCTAAAGTTGAGATAAGATGCTGAAACAATTCTTACCCATAAGATGCAATAATTACTAGGCTAACCATAGTTTTGTATAAATTGTTCCTGGGACATAAGGAGATGTGTGTGTGTGTGTGTGTACATCATTTCACTTAATTTTTAAAATCAATTAATCACTCCCCCTTCCTCCCCCTGGGGACATCAAATTATGTTTGATCTCCTTTTTTTTTTTTTTAATGTATTTTTAGTTACTTATGCATACAAGAACTGGGGGGTAGGCCAAAGTATGTGGGATGAAAGAATTCACCAGAGACAGAGGGGGGAGCAGAAAAGGTAGATCTACTGAAACACACTGCCGAGGGGAGCAGTGGTTGAGACAGGAGAGGTCTGCTGCGCCCTGTGGGTCGGCTCCCTGGCTGCAGTGGCTGGCAACAGCTTGATAGCACTGAGACTTTAGCTCCCTTTAGCAGCAGGGAGGCGCTGGTCTCCCTTCTTGCCTACTGCGGTCACTTGTCCCTAATCCTTTGAGTCTTTATTTGTGAACTTCCACCTGGAAAGTTCTTTGGTGCTCATTTTCAGGTGATCTCGAGAAGATGAGTCGATAAGCACTTGTTCGATCCCCCACATTGGCCAGGAAGTTCAGCAGGGTTCTCCAGTCTCGGTAGCAAAGGCTTTGCTGTGGTTGCAACAGTGCCAATAGCTGTGGTCTCAGATGTCCATGAACCAATGTTACTTGGCACTTAGGGAGACGCTGCAGACATAAACACACTTGGAGCAGCAGTTGTTTCTTCTGGCCGATCCCTCCTCATAGTGAAGCCCAGGCAGGATGACATTAGCAGCCCCTAACCCCATAGGATTATCCCTTCCATTGCTTCTGCCAGTAGAAAAGGAACACTGACTTATCCCAAGCAGCCAGCACACAGCCCTGCACTGCCCAGTCCTTATAGGGTAAGGCAAAGCTTTTTTGATTAAAAATAGTTTTTGCTTTAGGAATGCTACCCTACTGAAAAGTCTGGCCATTGAAAAATAAAACCAAACAAAAAGCCAAAAAACATCTTTTCGGATTACAGCACTGGATCTTGTCACATATTTCTCTGAGAGATATCCAAGCCTTATAGGGGAGTTTGAAGCATGACTGAATTCTAGGCATAGAAAATAGCAAATGTCAAAAATGGAGACAAAAGTTGTTTGGCGTCCATGTGACGAAGACTTTTTCCAGAGGCATCTCCATGAAGATCATGAAACCCGGGACAAGGCTCTGCTGGGGGAGGTGAAGCACTCCTTGCAGACGCTGCTCTTAGAAGGATCTTCGACCTTGTGACGGGCAAGCCTTGGTATTCGCATCAGTCCCACAAGGTGCTTTGCAACCAAGCACGGCACCAAGCTTCTTTTCAAGCTGGGCTTGGCCACAGTCCTCACAAGGCATGTTTCCTGGCCTTCACATGCACCCACTCATGTGAAGGCCAGGGGCTGATAGGCAGTGAAAGGCCGGAGCAGACCCGCCATGCAGGTGAGACTTGGCCTCAGGTAGCCTCTGAGGAACAGATGAGTGAGTCGTGGCCTTGCAGGGACCCCCGTTTTTTCAGATGAGCTTGTCAGCTCATGGTGGAGGGAATGTCCCTTCAGTGCCAGGCTGTTGTCCATGCCAGGGCCACCCCCTCGGCCTCATGGTGCTCCTCCTGGTGGCCTCACTCTGGCCAGAGCCCAAAGGCCCCTCCGGGTTGGTGTGAAGAGCAACCAGTGGAAAAGAGCCCCATCACCAAGTCCCAATGTGCCCGCCACCCCTGAGACTGGAGTCCTGCTCCACAGATGTCACAACCACATCAGAAGGGGACAGAATTAAAGGACTTCTGCTTCTCAGAAGTCACAAGACAGTAAGCTGACAAAACTCTTGAATAATTTCCCAGTCTGCCATCAAGCAGGAAAAGTCTCGTCTAAGGGACACAGGTTGGTTCGATGAGGAAGCCATGGACAAGACTCAATGCCTTTGCCACTGTCCTGGGAGAACAGGGCACTGGGCCTCGAGGGCAGGTCTGAGGAGTGGCTTCCAAGCAGCGCTGACCTGAAACCCCTCTCAAGTCTCCTGTTGGGCAATACTTCGAGGCAACAGCACATTTTTCCCTGTGTAAGAATTTTTGTCTGAAATGGCCTCCAAATTTTAGGTGATTTGGGGTTCACATTTTTCCCTTTGGTTTTCACTAATATTGACTTTTTGGGGGAGAAAATCTTGTTGCTGTAGGGAACTACAGGCGATCCCGAGGCAACATGGGCTCGGGATCTTGCATGAGCCTCCACCAGACAGATACTTAAAAACAAAGATCTGAGCTCTCTGTTCTATAATTAACTCATAAAACGCTGGCAGTGGCTCTTGTGTGAGATGTGTACAGTTTCTGTTTATAGCTGTTTATGAGGATATTACTGTCTTCAAATTTCCCTCCTGAGGTTGCTCTGGGTGTAACTGAAGAGACCCTGTGTGGAGGCCCGTGAGCATAGCCTTGGGTGCGTGTTCGCGCTCCGGGTGGGAGTCAGCGCAGACAGGCCGAAACACCGCCATGACCTCCATCTCCAGCAAGAAGACCAGGAACTCAACCGTCCTGTGGACATGCCCCTCTGGAGCAAAGCGCTACCTGAGGCTAAATTCTCTGGCTGGCCAGCATCTGCTGCCAAAGAGAACAAGACACGGCCGGTGAGGGGATGTTCCGTCTGGTCTCAGTATCCCCATGCTTTATCTTCCAAAGCGTTAGAAATTGGTTTCCCTTGCTATTTATCATTTTGGCAGTCACCCTTACAGCCTGTCCCGTGCCAGAGGACACGTGTGTCCATGGCTTCCTGACTGTCCCCCTGAAGACTCAGAAGCGGTCAGGGGCACAAGCAAGGCAGGACCCAGGCGTGTCACCGCCGGGACTGCACAGCACGTGCGAACATCTTACACGAGAAACACTGGGGAACAGACTTTCCATCACACAGGTAGACACTTTTGTGCAAAGACTATTCTTGACTGAGAAAAAGAAATACATGGTAAATGGATGTACATGCTTGCTTCAGAAACTGTTATCTTTACGCTGAATCCCAGTGGAGAAAAGCCTCATGACAACATTACATGGAAGTGAACTTCCCCCACCGAAGCACCAAACTTGGAGCCCAGGGCTCGGCGGGGGACTGGGGGTCCGAGGGTAATCGTGGGGTGAATACTCCCACAGGTCACGCCCCTCCCTGTAACCGCAAACTGTTTGAGAAGGCGCCTTTCACCAGCACAGGGCGACGGGATTCCGAACCCAAGGGCATTGTGGCTGGTTCTCTTGGGGACATCCGACCCGTGGTGTCCTGATGTCCCAGGCCACCGGCACTTTTCTAGGGCTGAGGGTCAGTATGGGATAAAGACAACATCAAAGTGACAATTGAGCAGCTGAAGGGAAGCCTGTCCAGAGGAAGCAGCATGCTGGTCAACCTAAGCGTACCTAATCTGCCCGCGGGTTGTTGAGGGGTCATCTGTTCGAACCCCGAAGCAAGAGGCTGAGGGGTAAACCACCCACACCGGGAAGTGATTTCCCCACTGCTGCTGGGGCTTGGGACACTCAGGGAAAGCTCTACGGGCCTGTTCCTGGGGGGCTGTTCTACATCTCAGCTGGGGTGCTTCAAGACAAAGACCCCAAGAGTTCAGGCAGGGGTCAGCTTTCTGGGCTAAATGCCTGCCTTTGATTCTTTATCTTTCTGGTGTAGTGTTTCTCTTTGATACACACCCTTAGGAGGATAAGACAGGCCTCCTTCCCCCGGTTCTGGAGCTGGGCAGAGATGAAAGGTGCCTTCTTATCAAAACTGATAGGGCCGGTGAGGCCCTCCACGGCGCTGGGCACGGCCGAGACTTACATGAGTGGGGCTCCTGCTACTCTTCTGCATACCTCGTGCTGGGGGTGCAGTCACGGGACTGAATGTTGGGCGGGTGAATGCCAGCCAGGTGACCTAGACTGGCATCTCTGCAAAAGCACATTCCAGAACGCCAGCCCGCGATTGCAGGGTTGTGCTTATTCAACGTGCCCTGAAGAGTGATTTATTCGTATGCAAGTGAGCGCTCCACTTGCATCTTCAAAGCACACAATATACCTTGGTTTGAGCTTATGTTAGCAGACCCCAATCACAAGGATTTGAAAAAGGCCAGTTTTAGACTTTCAAACGAAGGTGCCACGTCTGGCCGCCAGTTAGCATGCCGGAGCTTTCACAGTGGGAAGCTAACGTGGGCTTCTCCCGCCCAGAGGTTTGCTCAGGCGTTTGGGTGCTGGCAGCTGGATGGAAGCCCACTCAGCTGCCAGCCAGGGTGGGGACAGCCACCCCAGGAGGCTAGTGGCTGTCTGTCCATCAAAGAAGACATGTCTGTCCAAGGCCTTTGCAGCCGCAGAGACCTGATCTCCCCAAGAGAAAGGCAGCGCGTTCTAGATTGCCTCCTCCTGTGCTGGGTGTGCATGGCAGGGGGGCAAGTGGGCAGGGGAGCCAGGCGGCCAGGACAGGACCCTGCAGGCGGGATGCGTCTGCCGGGGCAATGACCAAGGCCAGCAAAGGGCCCAGACTCTGGGAACAGAGAAATCACCTTTGCCTGTCATCTGGTTCTCTGGGAAGCTTTCGGAGACATGTGGTGCAAGCTTCCTCAGCGTTCCCCACACCGTCCAGGTGGGCACGGCCGTGCTGCACCTGCCTGCCACAGGAAGCAGCCACTGTCCTCAGCTGCTCACGGGCACCGAGCCTGCACTCCATGGAAAGGAAGGGCTCGAATGCCTTTACCTTTTTAGGTCAACAGTAAGTGTTGCCTACGGTGAGGTTTTGTTCCTAAGTCCTGTGGGCACAGTTGGCAAAAGCAAGATCAGAACCTCAGGCAACAGGAGCTGGGGGCCAAGAATAGAGACAGTGATGACAGATGTGTCACAGCGAACTGGAAAAATTAACAGAGTTCCAGAGCAGCGCTGTCCAAGAGCACCGCCTGCCTGATGGGTGACTTCTCTCTGCGCCGCCCAGAGTGCGAGCCGTGAGCCACAGGCCAGCGGAGCTGACCTTTCCGGTTTGTTTGATTTCAGTGATTTATAGTTCACATGTGAACAGACCAAGCGGCTGCTGGCTGATGTGGCAGACCTCTCGGCTGACCTCAGGAGCCCCTGTTTTGCAGACAGGACACCTGTCTAAAATCCTGAAGCCAGTCCTTATTGCGCCTGAAAGATCATTTTTAAATTGGATTTTGCCCTTGGTTTTGCTTTCACAAGATCCTGCAAAAATGTTTTGGAAGAGTCCTTGTGCCACACGAAAGCTAGAGGGGCTAGACCAGGCCTTCCACCTAGAGGTGGTAAAGGGCAGGCGCAGGGTTTCTTCTCTACCATCTCTCCAGTCGTGATTCTGTGCCCTTGCAGAGGGAACTACACTTCTGTGCAAAGTAATCACTGCAGACGCTTTTCGGCTCAGTTGCACCCAAGTTCTCTTGGTGACGCTGGGTAAGCGGACTCCCACTAGGTCACACCCCGCCCGGGCCCCTCGCCATCCCGGTCACCCCCCGCCCGGGCCCCTCGCCGTCCCGGTCACACCCCGCCCGGGCCCCTCGCCGTCCCGGTCACACCCCGCCCGGGCCCCTCGCCGTCCCGGTCACACCCCGCCCGGGCCCCTCACCATCCCGGTCA